GATGCCTTGCTTGTCCTCACAGGTGCCTGAGGAGTCCTCTTTTCAATCTTGATCAGAGGGTGTCAAGATCCCATTTCCTGGCCTGAGGGACAGATCCCTTGGTTTATCCCTCTGACTCCTGGCAAGCGGAGCAGTGGACGGCAGCTGGTACCCTGTTAGCTCATCTGCCTGTTTTGTGGGGGAGGTTGGGATCAGGCTATGACCCTCCCCCATTCACTATCACCTATCTGTGACATTTATACACACTGCCAATGATATGATGAATCCTAATCACCCCTCATTTTGCAATAATCTTCTACTTTCCTAACTCTGGTTCATCCTGCATGCTGATACCTCTGTGATATTTTAAAATCACAAATCCTTTTATGCTTCCTAATTGCCTTAGATCAGTGATTCAATCACGGTTGCACAACAGAATCATCTGGGAAGGATTTTTTCAGTCAACTTTTTAAATATATAATTTACATATAATAAAGCATACCAATTTTTGAGTTTATTGCTCAGCATGTGCTTAATAAATATATGTGTGTGTATGTGTATCTACTGCCAAAATCAAGATAGAAAACATTTCAATCAACTCAAAAAGTTACCATATATCCTTTTTCAGTCAAACTAAAGCTTATCCTTCCCCAAAGAGACAGGCCCAAATACCTCCAAAAAACTACCAGCTTTTTGTCAATAAAGATTATTTTTGTGGGGCCTCCCTGGTGGCACAAGGGATTAAGCACCTCACTATGAAGCAATCCGAAGCCTCTCCAGCACAAGTTCGATCCCTGGCCATCCAGGGAGCAACCCACAGGCGCAGCAGACCTCTCCTGGCTCGCTATCTGCTCCCCTCAGCAGTGTACTTCGGTCAATCTGCCTGTTTTGTTCCCCACTCTGTCTCTGGTGAATCCTCTCACCGCCCCTCACCTCTGGCCTGTACCCCAGCTCTTGTGTGCATAAATAAATAAATCTTTTTTAAAAAAAGATTACTTTTGCTCTTAAATTTTACATAAATTGAATCAGATAGCATTTCTTTTGCATCTGGCTATTTCACTGAAGATGAAATCTTCAAGTCAGTTAAAGTGTGAGAATCAATCATTTCTTCCTTTTTACTGCTGAGTAGTGTTCAACAGTGTGAATTTATCAAAATGTTATCCATTCCTTTGTTGATGGACATTTGGAGTCTTTCCAGTTTGGAGCTATTATTAGCAAAACCACTATGACCATTTGGGTACAGATTTTTTTTTCTTTAAGATTTGTTTTATTTATTTATACAAGCACCGGCTTGTATGTGCGGCTAGATGTGCGGGAGGGTGACAGGATTCACCAGAGACAGAGTGGGGAACAGAACCGGCAGGCTGACGAAGTACACTGCTGAGGGGAGCAGCGGGTGAGACAAGAGAGGTCTGCCGCGCCATGTGGGACCCTCGCCGGCCCACCAGGATCAAACTGGCGCTGAAGAGGCTGTGGAGAACTTCACAGCGTGGCACTCAATCACCTGAACCACCAGGGGAGGCCCTGGGTGCAGATATTTTTGTAAACATGTTTTCATTCCTCTGGACCAATACTTAGAAATAGAAATACTAAGTCTAATGATAACCACATATTTAACTTCGGAAGAAACTGGCTATTTTCCAAAATGTCTGTTCCACTGCATTCCCACCAGCATTGCATGAGAACTGCAGGCAGAAAGCTAGGGTAGGCATAACTTCTTTCCCTTGCTTCCCTTCTCTGCAGTATCACAGAACTGTACTGTCCATTAGCCAGTGCCCCAAAAGAGTTGTTTCATATGTTATGTCTTGTTGTTTTTTTTTTAATTGTTGGGAGTGGGAAGGCAAGCCCAGTGCTGGGCATACATGTTGGTTCAGTAGTAAAATCCACTTCAGGAGCATCTTAAAAATTATGATGCTAGACTCCAACACCATAAATATTGGATCTGAGTTCTGTTGTGGGGAGATGGGGTTGGGATGGGGGGATTGGTGTTGAAAGAATTCAGCAGAGACAGAATAGAGAAAAGGGGAATTTATTGAAATACACTGCTAAAAGGAGCAGTGGGTGAGACAGGAGTGGCCTGCTCTCAAAGAAGCATTTGGGACTCTTTTTCATAACCTGTTTTTGCAGGTTTTTGATGACTGGTGAGTCAGGTGGGCCAGTTAGTGCTGGGATGTCTGGCGTGGAGTGCCCATCTTTGACACAGAATGTAACCTGGCCCTGGCTCCACATTCAGGATCTAAATGATCAGTCTTAGGGACTGGATCCCATAGCCACCTTATCAGTTCCCTTTAATCTTATTAAATAACACCCAGACAAGTTCCTGGAATGAGATGGGGGAGGGATCTGTCTTTCCTTGTTTTTTTATGTTTTGTTTTTCTCCTTTTGAAGAGGGGGAGTCAGGGTGTGTGGTGGGGTTTGTAATAGTGCAGCAAAGTTTGAAAATCAATGGCCCAGAGGTTCACCTTCAATCACTTCAACAAGACAAAATCCTTGAGAATCTGTACTTAGCCAGATCCGTGTCCAGTCTAAATCAACCTCCCACCTCCACAACCATCTTTTCTCACATTTCCTAAGTTTTAACTAGGTAGGACTTGATCAATATGAACATATTTCAAATTGCTATACCTTTCCCTGTTCTTTCTTTCTGGAAGGCCATGGCGCGGGCCATGCTACCCATGGTGTCTGACAAGGTCCGGGCATGGGGGAAATTTCTGAAAAGTCAGAAACCTCCATAGCTGGCTCCTGCTACTTCCTTTCATTTGTTTGTGCAAGTTATTGAAACCATGGAAATTTTCTATAAGCTTTAGACTAACACAATGAGTGTTGGCATCGATGCCAGTTTCGGGAATGCACACCTCAGTACTTTGAAAAAATGTACCTTCCAACATGATTGATAATGGAACGGTTTCTAATAATTCTCCATGTCCTCCAATTTGTAATTCAGTTACCACGAGTAACACTGAGTTTTCTAACAAACCACACTTGATAGAACTGATGGAACTGAGACTGGTAAAAGTCCCCATTAGAGAAGGTGCTGAGGTGCACCAGGAGGCAAAATGGTCCGAGAGAAACACACCACATATTGCTCCCATGGTACCGGGACCCTTTGGTTCTATATAGAAAATAGAAGGCCGCCCTCGATCTTACAATGCCTGTTTAGCTTTGGTTTAGTTACCTAGCTTGACCACATAAATCACGTTGCGTATAGCACCTGTTTCTATTTTCTGAATAACACATCACCTAGGAAAATATGTAACCAAGTGACCAAGTTAATCACAGGCTAGGAAAATTAAAAAAAAAAAAAGGACTGCGCATTGTTAATGATCATTAATAATTTCTGAAACAATGTAAAAGTAAAATCAATCATGATTGCATGATGTAATGATCAAATAACAATTTCTGATGTATAAATAAAGCCCTGCTGAGGCTATCAGCGGGAGACATCTGCACCCTGATCAAGTGTCAGTGTCTCCTCACTTCCTCATCTACCTCATCTCCTCTTCCCCTCATCCCTCCACTTCGCCTATGCTGTCTTGTCCTGAGGGAAACCCGGTCCTGGTCAGAGCTGGACTCCAGCAGGGCTGGTCTACTTCAAGCACTTACCCTTCACAATTCAGTCAAAATGTCATTGGCTCCATGGGGCACAAAGAAGCGCCAAGGATTTCTAGGGAAGAATGTTGTACCAAGAAGAGTACATAGACAACAAATGTAAGGTTTAGATCTGGCGCCACCATTTAAAAGAGGGTACAATTAGTCATTACTCATCATCTGGTTTCTTCACGTTACAGGGCAACCCCAATAAGAAATGGGTTGGTCTGACTGTGAGTCCTCACCCACCTGCTCAACTGCAGGCACACACAAAAAGGTTAATAAAGCGGTTATTTATAGAAAGGGAAAAAAAAAGAAAGGCATAACCAAGGGCGAAAGAGAGAGATAAATTGGTGAAAGCGTCCTACCAGTTCCACTGAGCTGGAACCCCAACATCATGCTGAAGGCCTGCGAAAAACCAAGAACCCCTCAGGGCCACATGTCTGGTATTCTCTCAAGTCTGGCTGCTTAACTACACCCTTAGATCCCAGCAACCCTCCACCCATGGTAAAGACCTTATGGGATTTGTAGTCTTTGGAGTCTTGGATCTCTTTGGTGTGGGGGGAGGGGAGGGTGGTAGAGTCCATAAAAGCTGTGTTTGTGTAGTTCATTCAGGACATTCTTTACCCCCAACATTCAGATATAACACAGTAGTAACAATGCTTGCCTGACAAGAGGGGCAGACCAGATTATACATGACATGCACCTAGCATGCTGAAAGTAGAAGGCATCAACAGAATGCTCCCTTCACATCCTACCTTCCACTTACATAACATTTCTTGAGACGCTCCACTGCAAATTGCATTTTATTATCTGTTTGCATCTGTCTTTCCCCCCCACTGGATTGTGCACTTTCTGACAGGCATTACTTTGCTTATCTTTGCATCCCTAGGGCATAAACATGCCTGGTATAAGAGGGGAGTTTAAATGAACGTCAGATAAATGAAGAGGATTTAATCGTTTTTAATCCTGACTGCAAAGAGTGTTTGCAATACTCTTCATCCCTAACCCAAGTCATGCCATGGATTGACCAAGTCCCGGGTAAGGAAGATGAGAGAAAATCTGACCAAGATTTAAAAAAAAAAAGTATATTTTATCAGATAAAATATCCAAAGGGCGTTCTCATTGTAGAGTTAAAAGAATCTGCCTATCTAAGCTGCCCTTTTGGGCAGCCTACGCTGCCTTCAGGGCTGCGGCAACAGGAACACCAAGCTTACACAGAGGTTTCTCTGAAAAGAAATCCTCCGAGCCCACCTCCTTTAGGGAACTTGGCGGACGGGACAGGTGAGCCGACCCCGGGCAGGTGAGCGCGCGGGTTCCGGGGGACGCAGGGGCGCCCCCCACCTCGCGCGGCTGCGGCGCAGTTGCCAGGCAACCGGCCCCGGAAGTCGAGGGATGCGCGTCCGCAGCGGGCGCCGACGAGCTGGGGAAAGATGGCGGAGGGCGGCAGCGCAGAGCCGGGCGAGGCGGGGAGAAGGTCGTCGGGGCCGCGGCCGCCGAGCGCGCGGGATTTGCAGGTGCGGCGAGCGGCTGGGGGCGGCGCGCGGGGCCGGGGCCGTGCGGGCTGGCGCGCGACCGAGGCGGCCGCTGGCTTGGGCTGAGCCTCCCACACCCCTGCTAAGCCCGGAACCGTCCCTCCCGCGCTGCGGCTCTGCCCTGGGGCTCGCCGAGTCCAGCGGTGTCGGGAAACAAGTGGCTGAACCCTAGTCTCGCTGGTGCCGGGTCCCCTGCACCCGCTTTGCTATAAAAAGCCACCTTGCATTTAGAATGGCATTTTGCACGTTAGTTGAGTAGCTCACGGTGGAGGCTTACTTCGGGAGACTTAAGGGCAGAAGAAAGCTTTTCTGTAGCCCTAGGGAATTTATTGATCACTTAAAAAAAAGAATGTGTGCTGTTCCTTCTTGTCTTGGATGCTGTTTTCCCTCTTGATTATTTATGTAGAAAAGTGGTTCCCTCTTTATCAGGTAGCTTTTCTCTTTTAAAGGGTGAACTAAAGTATTTAGTCCAGTGGCTGCAGTCGTTATAGAAGCTACCGTCTAAAAAGGTTTGTACCTAGAAATCAGGGAAATAAAACTTGGTGCTATAGAACATTGACTTTAGTTAGCTAAAATAGAGTGCGCCGAACCCTGTTTTATCTTGTACTTAACATTACTTTGCTCATTTTAGGTTTTTCTTCTGACCCCTTAGAAAATCATTGATAAAATCCAACAAGTAAACATCTATAAGGAGATATAATTGCAAATAAGTGGCAATGAATACACAAGCCTTGATAGAAAAGTTCTTTATACTACTTTATAGTCACACCTTCATTCTACTTATTTGAACAAACCTTTTAACCACCTGCCATCTACCATACTATTATGTGGGCTTTTAGATAGATAGGGCTTTTAAATCCATAGTTGATTCTGTATGCTGGTGAGGGCCTTAAAAGTGTACAAGGCATTTCTACCCCCCCCCACTTTTTTTTTTGAAGAAATAAGATATGGATATATTTACATAACATTTAAGTTCGAGTGTGACTAAGTGCCAAAAAAGCAGTACATAAAACCAGTACTTCGGAGAATGGAGAAATATGTGTCAGGTTGGGAGACAAACTGTAGAATAGTTGGTCAGTTTAGTAGTAGTGACTAGAATCAAGAACTAGGAAGCCAAAATTTGCCCCATCTTTTCTATGGGCATCAGTCATAACTAAGAGGTATCATGGAATGTTGGAGAAAATGGAGTTTCTGATTAGACTAACTTCATTTTGCATTTTAGCCCTGCCATTTACTGGTTGTGAATATAGAAGACTCCCAGTGTCTTTATTTCTAAATCAGAAGTGGTGGTGTTAAAAGGATTAAATAATGTCTGTAAAGTACCTATTGCCAAACTCCCACAGACTCAGCACTTGCTTGGGCAATATTGGATTCCTGTAGTTAAAGGAGAAAAATAATATAACTTTCACTGATCTAATGCTATTAAAGTTAAAACTATGTAATTTTGATATCCTTCTTTACATAATCCACTTTTTTTTCTTTTTATGTGAAAAATAAGAACAGCTTGGTCTTATTTTCACCTGATATTTGGCAAATTTACAGACTTAAACCAGTGGATTAATACATGATTGATACTTGCAGATATTCTGGTAGATTCACCAATTGTGAGATTACCTTTGTTTCCACTATCAAATAGATGTGAATTTTTTTCATCTATCTACTTTCTCTAAGTAGGTAGGTAGGTAAATAGCTGATTTTTTTTTTTGTCTGAGATTTTGTACATCAAATGCACTAAGTATTGATAATCTTTCCTTTAGCATTTAATAAGAATGTGAAGAACCTGCAAAGAAACCTGAAAACAACCAAAGTGATGATGTGTAAAGAAATAGAGTATGTATCAAAGGTTTAAATTAATAATGTTCTTTTCAACTGGTTTCTTGGATGTTGATTATTTTGGGATTTTCTTGTTATCGTTTGATCTAGCCATGCTTATTTTAGGAGTTAGTCATTTAGTGTAGTTTTTAGTAGTCTTCTTACTTTCCTGACAACCATCTCAAGAGAGTCTTTCATGGTATTAAGGAGGGAAATGGTGATGTTTCTAATTGGAAGAAGCGAAAATATCCCTAAGTACATATATTTTAGCTGCATTGCATTTAGGTTTTGTCAGCATCCAAATCAGGAGGGATTTCCACAGGTACCACTTTCCTCAGGAAGGAAACTAGTTGATTTCCAGAAAGCCTTCCCATGAGTGTCTAACTTACGAAATCTCATATGGATATTGAACTAAGAGTATATCTTAGCTCCCTTCATTGCCCCAAAATGGGAAACGTTCTATGGGAAATTTGGGGGGCTAGGTTGTTAGTGACAATAGTAACCCTATAGGCAATGGTGTTCATAGTATTTCTGAATATTTCAGAGATCTTTGTTCAGGTGCCCTCAGTCCATCCTCCCACATGGTTAAGGTCATTACGTGTATGCTTCTGTCCCAATTTTCCTTGATAATTACATCAAAAGAAAAATATTCGTTCCAAATTTTGTATTTCCATATAAATTGGAATTAAAGGTAATTAGGGATAACTACAGTGCTTACTAGGTTTGTGTTTTTTTTTTTTAAGATTTTTTTTTATTTATTTATGCATACGAGAACTGGTGTATAGCAACAGATGTGGGCGGTGAGAGGATTCACCAGAGACAGAGTGGGGAACAGAACAGGCAGATTGACTGAAATATGCTGCTGAGGGGGACAGTGGGCGAGTCAGGAGAGGTCTTCTGTGCCATATGGGTAACTCCCTGGAGGCCAGGGATCGAACTCGTGCTGCAATGGCTGTGGACAGCTTCATAGGTTAAGGCTTAACCCCTTGCACCACCAGGGAGGGCCACTAGGATTGGGTTTTGGATGAGGCAAAGAGGAGAGTTCTTTAAGTGAGGAAAGAATAAAAATGTCTGAAACTTTGCTATAATTTCCACGCATATCCTAATCTTGTTGAATATCAGTATTCCCTATCATTAGTTCTCAGTTTATTCTGCACCAGAACCATGAGCAAGGCTTGTTAAAGAGGAAGTGTCTCACCCAAAATTTCTAATTCATTAAATATAGGGTACGACTTGACCATCCTGATTATTTCCTAAGGTTTCCAGATCATGCTGATGTTGCTAGTCTATATAGAAAATCTGTATTTTGCCTTCTGACAGTTTTCCCTTTAATACTGAGAGCTCCAGTACTTTCAATCTTTTGCTATATATTTGATTTTCTCACTCTCTTTTGCCTATAGGCTTCTTTTCATATTCTTCACATTGCAAATTCTAAAAAAAAGAAAAAAGATTATCAGTACTTACAAATTATTTTTGTGTGTAATTGAAATATCTGCATAATCTAATTGCTTAGCTATGAACACTGATCTGATATTTCACAATGTATCATTATTTCACAGTGCACAGTTCACAGTGTACACCCAGGGAAAAGGGCATGATTCAGTTAGTGGTTTCTCACCCACTTGCTTAAGAATGGCAGACATAACCCAAAAACAGATACAGAGAGAAATAAATAAATAAGGGGGCAGGATGTTTACTTACACAGGGAGTTAGGAAAAAGGAGAATGAAGAGAGAGTGAGAAAAACTTTTTGGTTGGCACATAGCTAGATGCTATCTGAGGTACCCCAGATAACTACTGCTGAGCAGAGACTGGGATCCAAGAGGAAGCCACAAGTGGAAAGAAGGCCACTGTCTGCTCAGTAGTGGCCTGAGGGCGAGCAGTAGCCTGAGGGCTAGCAATGGCCTGAGGGTGTGTAGTAGAGTAGTTGTAGCACTACTCCAGGAGGCATAAGGAGCCATATACGTAGTTGGGGCAAAGAGCAAAAGGAACCCAGGGTCTGTGAGGCTCTGCTCTGCTCTGCTCCTGTTTCCTAACAGCCCCTGCTTAGGACATCAAGGGGTGCAGTCTGGATCATCACTCACTGCTCAGAGGTTTTATTGGTTTTTTTCCCCAACAGGTTACTGGCTCAGAAGTTGGGTTTTTTTTTTTTCCCCTACAACAATATCTTTTACTGTTAATTACATATCATTATTTATACCTTATATAATTTCTAAGTCAATGATATCCCATTAATAACTAGGCCCTTGCAGCTAGATGGACTTCCTGTTAATATATATATATATATATATATATATATATATATATAGGCATTCCTATTTTATTAATATATATCCCACTTTACATGCAGTCAAAAGGCATTGTTTGTTTTACAGAAGAATGTTATTTGCTTGATGGTATATTCTGTCAAGGTACAAAACTGTAACAAACAATCTCAGTTTAAATATCTATAATTTCATTAATCTGTGTATATCAGTTTATGATTATTTTGTGTTGTAGGTTACATAATTCAATGTGACTTTGTTGGTTAAACTTACATGTATTTCATGGTCTTTCATTTTTCAGGATCTCATTTTCCTAAACTTGTTGAAACATATCTATGACAGACTTTCTAGTAGATTAATTTTGAAATTGTTTTATTGCTTAAATTTTAAAATCTGGAATAGCAACATGAATAATTTTATGATATCTGATGAGTACACACTGACATTTGTGTCAAATATCTCCAGATACTTTTAAAGAATTATAGGATGATTATAGGGCCAACTTTGAAAATTATGTTACCAAATGCAGTTTTTGAAACTGCTGAATAGTTAATTGAAAATAATTAAATAATGATCATATCTTTATTGTAATATATGTGAAATCTGGTTGGTTCTATAAAATGAAGGATACAGTGGTTATATTTTGGATGGACGTCACCTTCAGAAGCTGAACCTTCATTTTTCATTTAACAATTTTGGCTATGCATTTATATGTTAATATTGTACTCACAGCCTGTACTTGTGTAGAATTTATTTATTCTGGTACACTTCATAATAAATTTGTTACTATGTAGTTGGCCTTAGCAGAATTATGTGAAGATGAAGTGAAATACAAATCTTCCAAATCTGATCGACCTAAAGCTACAGTCTTTGCAAGTCCACGGACACCCCCGCAAAGGTAAGTTTTGTTTTGTCTTTGTCTTGTTTTGGTTTTAAAGACTCCATTCAGTTCACTAATCCCAGATTATTTTAAATGACCTTGAAATTTTTTTTAAAATGTATTCTTCATATGACTATTGTTTAGGTTCTATTCCTAAAACTGTAATACTCAGAAAATTAAAGGAAACTTATGGAATGTATCTTAAATACCTAAAATAATGGTAAACTTATATACCAAATAATATTTTTATATGACACAATGATTCTTTTAAGTCTTAGACCTCATTGAGAATCTGAAAGCTTAGCCACTTTGACCCCAAACAATATTTATACATAGTTTTAGGGTTGTTTTTGAGGTTTCATCCACACGTTTCTTAAAGCCCATTCATGGAGCCCCTATGTGTTTTTTTGTCTTCCATTTAAGAATTCATGTAACTCTTACAAATATGTATCTGATTGCTTTGAATGTAACCTATCAAATACATGATCTCCTAGATAATACTTGTTGTTATTAAAATCCATAAGCTATTAAAAAAAGAACTGTGAAGTTGTACAAGATGAGAGCTGAGTATAGTTTATTGCCATGTTTCTTTTTCATTTCCAGAATTATTTTCATTAATATCTTTGTCAGTACTATAACTGAAATTTGGGCAGAATTTTCCCATTATATCTTATTCTCAGGAAGTCTGTTACTTTACCAAAAGTTGAGAAATTCACTGGAAATAATTATTATTTTACTTGTCATTACAGCTTTTCTTTCTTTCTGTAAGGGCTAAATATAACATATCTTTCTGGACCTGACTGAGAATGAGTAATATTTACAATTCTTCCCCAATTTTTATTTCTATTTACATTTTTCCATCTTGAAATCTTCCTCTATTTTTATATTTTTCATGTTTTTATTTTATTCCATTTGCATACTTCTCACTACCATCCCTTACACCCCTTGACTCTCCCTCCCTCTTATCATTAGAAGCCTCACTATGTTAATCAATGTACATTAGTTTTTATAAGAACTTTGCTCTGTCATGTCATCTGGTATGTGAATGTCAAATATTTGTCTTGGTCATTCTGACTTTCTTTATTGTACATAATGCCCTGGAATGCCTTCCATTTTGCTGTCAATAGTAACCTTTAAACTTTCCTGATGACTGAATAGTATTCTTTAATGTGGATATACTTATCACTTCTTAATCAAATCCTCTAATCAGTGGGCACTTTGTTTTCATGCCCTCGTTATTTTAAATAATGCTGCCATAAACGTTGTAGAGTATATAATTTCTTGACTTGATGATTTTATGTCTTTGGATACATGGCCCAAGAGTAGAATTGCCGGGTCATAAGATAGTTCCTTTTTCACTTTTTTAAGTAAATTGCCTGTACCAATTCACATTCCCACCAGCAGTGTAATAGTGCGCCTTTTTGTCCACATCTTCTGCAGCACTTGTTGAGGGCTTTTTAATATGTTCCATTCTCAAAATTGTGAGATAACTCATTTTGCTTTTGACCTGCAGCTCCCTTATTAAAAGTGATGATGAACATTTTTCTGTCTATTGATTTTCTGCATATCTTTTTTTGTTAAATTGTTCACATCTACTGCATATCTATTAATTGGGTTTTTTATTATTATATGGAATGTTTTTTGAATATTAACCCCTTGATAGTTGTGTAATGTGTAACTTTTTCTCCCATTCACTGGGATTGTCTTTATAATCTACTTATATTTTCTTTTGGCTGGGTAAAGTCTTTTTAATTTGAGGTAATTCTGTAGAAGTATAGGGATCAAGTCTCCAAAAAACATCTTTATCATTGAAATCATGAAGCATATTACCCATGTTTTCTTCTGTATATTTTATTGTTGCAAGTCTATATCTTGTAAGTCTTTAATCCATTTAGAATTAAATTTTGTGCATGGAGTTAGAGTGTCATATAACTTCATTCTCTGATGTGTGGCCTTCTAGTTTTCTCAGCATCATTTTTTAGAATCTCTTTTTCCATCATAGCACTTCACCCCTTAAAACTTCAGCATGCATCCCCTAAAAATAAGAGATTTTCTTTATAAACTTGATGATATATTACACCTTAGAAAATTAGCAGTAATTGCATAATATCATTGAATATGTAGGTCATGGCCAAATACTTCTTAAAACATTTTTTGAATTTGGAATCCAACCAAGAACCAAGCATTCTATTTGTTCATGCCTGCTTTGAATCTTTATACTGAACATTGTCACCTTTTTGTCATTTGCTAAAAATTATTGCCTTGACTGTTTTGAAGAGGCTAATATAATTATCTTATAAAATGCTTCCCATTCAAGGTCATTCATCATGATTAGATTCTTGTGCAAATCAGCCTGTTCTGTCCCCAACTCCTCTTTGGTAAATCATCCCACCTCTTTTCTATATTTAAAAAATTTTCTATCATTTAAAAAAATGATTCTTGTTAAACATTTTTACACTGATGTCTTAGGTAGATAAGCACAAGAAAAGGGGCAAATTCCAGCAGTAAACAAGCACAGAGGAAAATACTATAAAAATTACCAAGCAGAATCAGAAAGAACCTACCAAATCTCTAGTAGCCTTGTGGTGAACAGGACTGACTAGAGCTGCCAGGGCGTGCTGCACTGGCACATCACCTGTGCTCATAGGTAGCCCCACACTGAAGTGACTCATGCTGGGTTTAATTCTTTGTTATTACTGGCTTGAAATTCTTACTAAATTTTGAACGAGGAGACTCACATTTTCATTGGGACCGAACCCCACAAATTATGTAACCTGTCCTGGATGCAGCCACTTGAAAACACATGTGTGGAAGGCAGTAGGAAGCCAGGTTATGTTTTTTATGTCCATTTCATGATAATAATGATAATATTGTGAAATAAGCTTTGATTTGTAGACATACGCACATCTGTTCTGATCTTTTTTTCTCTTTTCTAATGAAGTTTAGCCAATGAACAAGTTACTTAAATTTCCTAAGTTTCAGTTTTCTTATTTATAAAAATGACCAAGTGGGTGATTTGTTTTGAGGATGAAGTGAACAGAGTGACCTCTAGATAAATGTTAACTATTATTATTATATACTTTTAGGAAAGTGGGACTGGCAGTACAATATAAAACTAATAGTAGTGGAGAAAACAGGGTAAGGAGACAAATCAAGAGGAAAATAATTGTAGTGACCTAATAAAATGTTGGATTAGGATGGTGTCAGTGGAAAAGAGGTGAAATCCATATGGGATGTTTTCAAAGAATTTATTGTAGAAACTTGATGATGTCGTACAGGAAATAAATGAATGGGAAAAAGAGGGAGACTTAAAGATTATTAATCTGGGATCCTGTAGAAACTTTGATTGTCAATGGGAAGATTTAAGTGGGGATCATAGCTTTAGTGTTTTTTCTGTTTGTTTGTTTGTTTGTTTGTTTGTTTGTTTGTTTGTTTTTAATATTTTTTTACTTATTCATGTATACAAGAACTGGGGTACAGGCAGATGTGCAGGAGGGTGAGAGGATTCACCAGAGACAGAGTGGGGAACAGGACAGGCAGACTGACTGAAATACACTGCTGAGGGGAGCAGCAGGCAAGACAGGAGAGGTCTGCCACACCATGTGCGTATCTCCCCAGCCGGCCAGGCTCGAACCCACTCTACAGAGGCTGCAGACAGCTTTACAACACTACGCTCAACCACCTGCACCACCAGGGAGGCCCCATAGCTTTAGTTTCGGAGATAAACTTGATTTAAATAGATGCTTTGAAATTCAGCAGTGGATCATAAGAGGATTCATCTGTATAAAGGGGGTTGTTGGCTATGGGAAATATTTTGACACTTAGATGAGTTTAACTAGAGAATGAGTCATGAATACAGACATGAAAGAGAAGAAATGGATTTATTGTGAATCTAAATATGAAAGGAAATAATTAAATTAATAAAAGAAAATAGACTATCTTCATGACCTTGAGGTAAGCAAGGATTTCTTTATCAGGTAACAAAGGACATTAACTATAAAGGAGTTAGCAAGTCTTTTTCCATGTTAGTTATTTTCCTGTGAGGTCTTTCTCACCAAGGCTGAGATGAAAAGGAACCCTATAGTGGTATTTTTTTTTTTACATAAAATATAATTTTATTAATTAACCATAATCACCAAGATAATAGAAATTAATTCACTTTGACTGAATATCAATAACATTGTGAACTCACATTTGCTTTATCTAGTGAGGTTTATTCCTCACTAATAATTTATACTCATAATAATTTATCATGTGTTATTTATAAATGTTACAATTTATAACACTAATACAATCTTCCAGAGAGTTACAGTATATCTGTAGACCAAATTCTCCAATAGGAAATAAAGGTTTATATATTAATGCTACTTCCAAAGAATAACTGATGCTATCAGATTTCATGTCAACCCTCTCACTTAAGAAACATGGACAGGGAGTAAAAGAGCTACAGCCTGAGAGAACTACGACCAGAAGCTTAGCTTTGCTTTTTGATGTTTACACTATAAATCTCTAGGTCACTTCACTAACTTGGACTCTACTGAGTGTGGATCCTACTGAGTGTGGATTCATCAGAGGAAGAGACTTAGTTTCTGGTGTCAACATTGCTTTTCGCCACCATAAAAAAAAAGTTTAAATTGTAAAGAGGCATTTGATATACAATTCAAAGGGATGAGGGAGGAAGAAACAAGCCAGTGCTCATGCTGGAGGCTGAATCCTGCAAACCCATGAAATACTATATGAACTAGCACTAACATGTAGTTATATTATTATTTATTTTGTTAATCCTATTTTTAAAATTAAATATTTTCACAGAAGTCAAACAAATTAGTCTTTTTGAATGAAACTTATTTCTTTTTATTTTATTTTTGTGTAGCTTTTTATTTTAAAGTAGTTTATAGCTGTATTCTAATTTTTTATTCATGAACAATATTATAATGTTTAAAGGTTCTATTCAAGTGAACATGAATATAGTGGATTACATATAGTTCGACCTTCAACTGGGAAAATTGTGAATGAACTTTTCAAAGAGGCAAGGGAGCATGGGGCTGTCCCTCTGAGTGAAGCCACAAGAGCTTCAGGTGATGATAAATCTAAGGTAAGTGCTAAATGTTAAAATTATATTATTTATTTATTTGATCTCCTTTGTAGTTTTTTGTATTATTTGCAAACATTGTTTTTTTGAAATTGTGTGTATATTTGTTTTAAATATTTGCTTCATTTTTTAAATATTTTTTTTTCTATTAAGTCATAGTCTTATGTTTAACGTTTCTCAACCTGAATTTCCAGGCCAAAATCATTTAGGGAGATTTTCTAAACCATGACATGACTTCATGATTATGGCTCAGTAGATTTTAAGTGTATCTAGTCATACGTTTTTTGAAAAAGACACTCCAATAATTATGACAGATATCCACGATTAAGAACCCATGTTCTAAATGAAACATTCTACTTCCCATTTTGTTATTTACCAACAACTTTAAGTTCTCTTTCAGTCAAGCCTGCTGTAATTTTGGTCCTTTCAAGTTCTCCAATTCTGTAGAGGACTTTGTGATTAGTATAGCAAAATAAAAAGTGCAAGATAGTTGATTCGTTATGGTTGAGTGAAAGCAGCCTGTAAAACAAGGAGCTTTTCCTCAGGGGGATTTTATACACATTTATAAAATTCTTCCTTTACTCTATGAGGGTCTTATTTACTGTGTAAAATATGATTTAAGCATTATAATTTTTATTATAACATGTAAAATACTGTTGGTGAATATTTACAATCTGCTTGTACTTCAAAACATGTATTTCAGGGCCTCCCTGGTGGTCTAGGGGTTAGGTCTCAGCACTACCACCACGAGGGCCCACCATGATGGCCTGAGTTCAATCCCTGGCCAGGGAGCCAACCCACATGCCACAACAGATCTCTCCTGTCTCACCCATGCTCCCCTCAGCAGTGTATTTCAATAGATCAGCCTGTTCTGCTCCCTGCTCTGTCTCTGGTGAATCCTCTCACCACCAACAACTCTGGCCTACACCCAGTTCTTCTATGCAGAAATAAATCAATAAAATCTTTTTAAAAAATGTATTTCCGGGCCTCCCCGGTGGTGCAGCGGTTGAGCGCTGGGTTGCGAAGCTGCCCACTGCCTCTGCAGCGCCGGTTCGATCCCCGGCTGCTCCCCGGCCACCGGAGGAGGGTCCCACATGACGCGCAGACCTCTCCTGCCGCCCGCTGCTCCCCTCAGCAGTGTACTTAGGTCCTTCTGCCTGCTCTGCTCCCCGCTGTGGCTCTGGTGAATTCTCTCACCCTCCCGTGCTTCTGACTATTAAATGCTTGTATAAATAAATAAATAAATAAATCTTTAAATATATATATATATTTCAGCATTTCTTGGTTTAAGATTAGCATCAATTATTTTAGTTTCTGAGTCACTAATATTGTTGTTGGTAGAATACATAATTTTTCATCTGAATACACTTCGCATTTAAAAATCATCATGGGGGCCTCCCTGGTGGCAAAAGGGGTTAAGATGCAAAGTATGAAGCTATTCTCAGCCACTGCAACACGAGTTCGATCCCCAGCCAGGGAGCTGACCCACATGGCGCAACAGACCTCTCCTGTCTCGCCCGCTGCTCCCCTCAGCAGTGTATTTCAGTAAATCTGCCTGTTCTGCTCCCCACTCTTTCTCTGGTGAATCCTCTCACCCCTATACCTCTGGCCTGTACCCCAGTTCTTGTATGCATAAATAAATAAATCTTTAAAAAAATTAAAAATAAATAAAAATCATCTTGGGCCTCCCTGGTGGCCTAGGGGTTAAGTCTCCACACTGTTACTGCTAAGGCCAGAGTTCGATCTCTGGCCAGGGAGCTAACTCACATATGGAACAGCAGACCTCTCCTGTCTTACCAACTGCTCCCCTTAGCAGTATATTTCAGTAGATCCACCTTTTCTGCTCCCCACTCTGTCTCTGGTGAATCCTCTCATCCATTCCACTAATTCCCTCACACCTCTGGCCTAGTCCCCAGTTCTTCTACACACAAACAAAAACAAGTAAATAAAAATATATATCACACATGAACATAATATTTTGCTTACTAAGCCATAATGAAATGTGGCTCACTTGCTATGTATTTCAGTCATTTACAGGTGGCGGATACAGATTGGGTAATTCCTTTTGTAAGAGATCTGAATACATCTATGGAGAAAATCAGCTACAAGATGTAGGTACAGTAACCAAAATGAAAAATTATAGATTTTGGCTCTACTTACATAGTTTGTTTTTAAATTTAAAAATGGTATTATGATGACAATATCTTCATCTGTTACTTTTTGAGACATACATTAAAAAGTCTAATTTTATGTTTTGTAGCTCACTTGCACCATGTGCTTACAGATAAATAACTGTTAAAAGAAATGTATAATGTCCAAATGAATTTACATATGTGTTAAAAGAATTACTATAAATAGTATACTTTCATTATTATGTGAATTGAGCTGTAAATATAGAAACACCTAAAGTTATTCTTTGTTTCTATTATTTTTTGAAATTTTAGAGTTAAAACTTCATTTTAAACATGTAAATTTAGCCTTGGAGGGTTACTGGGCTTTCTGTTTTGCCCCTTATGAATGTTTAACTCCACTTGGAAGAACAATATGGATACTAGTGACAAAGTAGGTACAGAGTGACAGCTAGATGCTCTCATTGCTTTTGTTTTCTCAGTGAACCAGGTATAGTTGTACTTCAAGGCCAGGGTGCAACTGTTTGTGGGATCTCTGGTATTTCAGCCATTGTCGGTTTGTTAAACTAAGTACAAATCTGCTAAGCAAATATACCTCGGTTCATTTATGCCTTTAACTATGAATAAAGAGTACTGTGACTAACTCCATACTTTAAGTAAGTGGCTTAATGTAAAATATCACAGTTGAAATGAAAAAGTTTTAATGCAAATGAGTTCTTGTATTCTATATCATTTTTCCCTGTGCTCACAAGGTTCAAATTTTGCTTAAACTGTGGAGCAATGGTTTCAGTTTAGATGATGGAGAATTGAGACCTTACAGTGACCCGACAAATGCTCAATTTCTGGAGTCTGTTAAAAGAGGGTAAGTGTATTATTTGTATTTCATTTGTTACTTGGGTTGGGACTTTTTTTTTAAGCAGCAATGCACTACTGGTTTTAGATAATGGAATACATTGTGTTATGTAAGTGGTTACTGAGGGGAAGACTATTTTAAAATATATGTGTATATAAGCTACATTGTTATCTGTAAGTCACTGGTTCTCCACTTTGGGTGGGGGGACAATAGACATGGGTCCCATTCTAAATTTGATGAAACCAAATGGTTTCTCAGAATGGTTTCCATTCTGAGAAAAAAAGTTGCTTATGTAATGAATCCCAAAATTGATTAGCAGATAGCTACCCATCCACTAAGCCACTGTCCTGCTTACTGTTGACAGGATGACTCTCTTTGCATGTATGCCTGAAATTCAGCAACTCATATTAGAAATCTTTTAAAGTGGCATTACTGCTGGCAGAAGATTTCAAAAGGTTAGTTTAAAGTTATGATTTATGCAAGTAAACTAGATATACAGTGCTCCCACTCATCTAAAGAACATCATGAATCACCAGCCCTTCTTGCTAGAGGATGAGGCATCAGGTGATTTTGATATGATAATAAAAGCTTTTCAATATTATGCTTTCTGTAACTCAAAATGTGATCATTCCTCAGTAGAAAAAGTTAATAATGAACTGGGACTTTAAGTAGGCAGTGACCAGTCTCAAGTAGGAGGTTATACTCCATCTAGGAAGTCTCCATCTAGGAGACTTTTCTAGGTGATGAAATATATCTTAGGAAATTGGCTGTAGTGAAGTGGAGAGGAACTTGATTGGAGTTCAAGTCAAGAAACTTGAAGGAAATATATTTTAGAACACTAACAGGAATTTTGAGTTTGAATTCTACAAAGATAATGTAGGTTACAAAAAAATAGTCAAGATATGTTGTAAGCAGGTAAACTGAAGACACTGAAAAACGCGGAAGCTGCCCTAGCACCATTAGATGGTTTAAGTCAGTGCTGTGAACCTGGAAACTTGCATAATCACTGGGAAGAGCTTGGGGCATCTGAGTAGGGGAAGTGTTCATCTGCTAAATAAGGATCTATGTTACCATTGAAATTAATGTTTATTTTAAGATGATGGAAGGACAGAATATAAAAGAGAAAAATACTATAGATCAAAACGAATTTATTAATAACTGAAAATAATTCTTAAAGTTTGTAGACTAATATGTGAACAATCCTGGTTTACTTAAAGTACAAATTATGGTCAAAAACAATTTTAGAAAATACAGAAAAAAATAATTGATGTCAGATAATGGGTGTCAAACTGTGTAATCTTTGTCCCTTTTGTCCCCTTTTCCAATTATTTTGTAACATTATCTTCACTATCCTCAAAGAACTCATAGACAGTATATCCATCTATGCCTATGATTTCCAAAAAATTGATACAAAATTTATCTTAAGTCAAAAAAAGGAGAGTAATCACAAAATATACCATTAAATATACACAAATTATATAAATTACAAACATATAAATATGCATAAAAATATTTGTATTTCAATTTGTAAATGCTTGAATATGATAAGACCACACTACCAGACATAATGAAGTAGTCAGAAAGTTTGCACCTATGTGCAATATAGCACTTCTATGTAAATGTGACAAAGACAGAATAATAAGGTATGTAAAGTTGACGACTTACTCACTGTGAGTGGCATTGCTACCAGGAACTTAGTAAAGTTCCAAACAGAACAAAATACATTCCTCCTTCAGTTTATATAGTAGATGCATACTTTGAAATTTAAAAACAAAACATGACAATACAATACCAAAAAAAAAAAAAACCTAAGTAACACTCAGAAATTATAAATAAATTATAAATAATATTGTGCACGTGAAATTCTGGCAGGAAATTTTGGTGGGTTTGTGGAACATGAGCTAAGACTTCATTGTGTAAGTATGCCATAACAGAGATAATCGCCTCTTTGTCTTCACAGCAGCACTCAGGAGTCTTAGAGCAACCAAAAGCATTCCTATCAGTTTTCAAACACCCCCTAGGGAGTTAGAAATAAATATCTGCATTATCTATTAATATGTCCCATAGAAGTTATCTAGTGCTAATTTAGATATAAATTTAGATATAAATTACTGTTTTATAATTTTATTTTATAAATACGATAAGCATTTCAAGGTCACTGTGACACCACAACAAATTCCCTGATGAAGATCACTAAAAATCAGCAGACATTCATTTATTGCCTACTATGTGCTGGACATAATGCAAATCCCTGGGAGACTGTTAGCCCAGTCTTAGATAATGCAACTTTCATAAAGAAATACCTACAGAGAGAAATTAATCATCATGGAAATTTTTATATTGAAGCAAAAACTGTCTTCCAATATAGCTTGCCACTTGATTATAGTGTTCTCTATAGTATATCAATAGATTCTTACTCTTTTTTTTTATTATTATTAAATCAAACCTTTTCCCTCTTTTTTATAGAGAGATTCCCTTGGAACTTCAGCGGCTAGTTCATGGAGGCCAAGTGAACTTGGATATGGAAGATCATCAGGATCAAGAATATATAAAACCAAGATTGAGGTTTAAGGCCTTTAGTGGAGAAGGACAAAAACTCGGAAGGTAAAATCTTAAAATGAGGAAAATACTGCTTGTCCTTGTTCAACATGAATTTAATTTATAAATAAAAAAAGCGAACTATTCTAGAAAGCAAAAACAAAAGTATGAATGTGAAGCTCTTACTGATAAGGAGTTATTTAAATCGAATGATACCAGTAGCTTAAATTTAGCAATTACCACATTCCTGACCTCTAAGCATTTTATATACATTAACTTACTTTATAACAACCCTTTGATATAAATCCTGTTATTAACCCATTTTGAAGGCGCAGGTATTTGCCCCAAGTGATTGAGCTAGGAAGTCCTTAGCTTGCAGGATTCAAACCATGCACCCTATCTGCAGAATCCCTCTTTTGATCCCTGTGCCTTCCTGCCTCTTCGTGATTACCTGGGTCCAAAAAGGGAAATTGTAAAGACTTGTTGATTAGGTAAAAGAAAGGTAATGTAATGTAGATCATAGTTTTAAGCATGCCTGTCTCCAATGCAGGAGGAAGCACTGTGCTTAAATTGGTGGCTTTATTGATTTATTTTAAGCAATGAGACTTTCTTTGTTGTGGAAGAACAATAAGTAAAACACATAAAGCCGGAGTTCTTCTGATTGTAGGTGGAAGAAATTGCTCTGAGATATTCCCAAGAGCCCTAGGACTTTGCCAAGCAGAATTTAGGAACTAATGTGTATAGTATAATGTATGAGTGGACTCCCTTACAATAATAGCATTGACTTAAAAGAATCTTCATAAATCTTATAAAGAACATTAGTTAAGTTACCTTCTATTGGTTCACAAATTACTACAGAGACATATGGAATTGCAGCACTCACCATATTTCTAAGTACTTTTTGTGTGTTCTTTGTTATTTTCATATGAATCCTTCCCGTCCAAGTTCTTTTCAGTTGTCTTCTGCACACTGGTTCTCTGTTTCCTTCTTTTTTCCCCAAATAGAAAAAAATTCAACACTGTTTCTGCATTTGTCTTTCATATCTGTAGTTTCCCTTTCTATAGCCTTTTCTTCTGATGAAGACTGATTTTGGGGACATCAAGGAAATACAGAAACACGTATTAGCTTGGGTATTTTTAGGACTCAAATCCTCAATGCCCATTGACAGGAAATTTTCTCCTTCATCTCCCTTTACTACCAACATAGACCAGGCTTCTCCTGGATTATTTTATTTCTTCCCCCCAGATTTTAAAAAAACATTTTCTAGCACTTCTCATTTTTACTTAATATTTATTGAGATTATGATTTTTAATTAGAATACAGGTAAAATGCACAGATATTACTTGCTTTATATCTCTTCTTTCTCTATTTTGTAATTTTTTTAAAGACTTATTTATTTATGCATACAAAAGCTGGGGTACAGACCACAGATGCCTGGGGTGAGGGGATTCACCAGAGACAGTGCAGGGAACAGGAACAGGCAGACTGACTGAAATAAACTGCTGAGGGGAGCAGCAGGTGAGACAGGAGAGGTCTGCTGTGCCATGTGGGTTGCTCCCTGGCCTGCCTGGGATCGAACTCATGCTACAGCAGCTGGGGATTGCTTCATAGTGTGGTGCTTAACCCCTTGCGCCACCAGGGAGGCCCTCTATTTTTTAAATTATGGCTAAAAATTAATGTTAGAATATACATCTTTGTTAGTGGAAGTACAATAAATCTATAATTGAAATTGAAGGAGGAAGAAGATTCTAAAAAGAACAATGACTATAATTGGCAGTTTCAGCTCATGAAAATAAGGATATTATCTGATTATATCATCTTACAAAGGCTAGCCTTATTCCTGACAAGGCAGAGAGCTAAAGAATACTGACCTTATGGGCCTCCCTGGTGGTGTAAGGGGTTAAGACACAACCTATAAGCTGTCCACAGCCTCTGCAGCATGAGTTCGATACCCCAGCCAGCCAGGGAGCTACCCACATGGCGCAGCAGACCTCTCCTGACTCGTCTGCTGCTCCCCTCAGCGGTATATTTCAGTCAATCTGCCTGTTCTGTTCCCCACTCTGTCTGGTGAATCCTCTCACTCCCCGCGCCTCTGGCCTGTGCCCCAGCTCCTGCATGCATAAATAATAATAAATAAATCTTTAAAAAATAAAAAGAATATTGACCTCCCCCTCCCCCAAAAGGGGAAAATGATGAAGGAGAATAACACAGATCCATGGTGATAATGCTATGTTAATCATTAGCCTATTGGTTGGGGTTCTTGATTGTACAAAACAGAATCCGTGTCCTAGTTTTTAAATAGTAAGGGTATTTTTATAGAGTCTTGGGTTTATCATAAAATTCCTGAAAGAAATAGCAGACCAGGCTTTCCATATTCAGTAGAAACAAATTCAACACTGAACTTCTTACAGAAAAACATGCGCCTTCTTCAGTTGTTCAGTGCCCATGAAACTAGGGACCAGACACTAGAACATTCTGTCATGATTGTTCCAGAAAGTCAAATGCCTCCAATACTTGGTAATAGCTCGAGCTGCTTAGCTCCCAAATCACAGTGCTTACTTTCACCATACAGGAGTGTATTTATTTGCGCAGTACATGGGTAAATCCCACCTACAAAGCAGTCTGAGAAATGTAGTCTTTAGACTGTTCAGCTTCTAATGTATAGGAAATGTGCAGTAGGAAGTGAATGTAGTAGTGTGAGCCTATATGACGCACATGATTCCAAATTTTTAGTAGTTGAATGTAACTATTCTAAGAAACTGAAGAATTGCATAGAACATTTAAGAAGACATTAAGAAGTATGTTAAAATATAAAAATTCTAACAACCTTTATTCAGAAAGTAACTTTCTAAAATGGCTCATTTCCCAAGAGTTCCAGACAACTTTTACTGAACAGAGATGATAATTTTATTTTATTTTTTAAGATTTATTTTATTATACATACAAGAGCTGGGGTGTAGGCCAGAGGTGCTGGAGGTGAAAGGATTCACCAGAGACAGTGGGCAGCAGAGCAGGTAGATCCACTGAAATACACTGCTGAGGGGAGCAGCGGGCTAGACAGGAGAGGTCTGCTGCACCATGTGGGTCAGCTCCCTGGCCAGGGATCAAACTTGTGCTGCAGTGGCTGCTGACAGCTTCATAGTGCTGAGACTTAACCCTTGTACCACCAGGAAGGTGGGAGATAGAATTTTAAAAGAAGCAAACAGAACAGAAGTGAGAATAATTCCATTGTCCTCCATAGCTGGCAGTGTAGTTGCAAACAAACCATTACATAGATGAAAACTAAATTTTTTGTTATGATGTACAAATAATTACAGGGTAAACCTAAGTGCAATAAAAATATTACCCACTACCCTCACATGTTAAAATAAGAGCTAGCAAATCATAGCTGTAAGTTCCTTAATGTTACCTGTCCAGTGATTGCAAATCACTATTTTCTCCTTTTTCATACTTTGTCATATACTGAAATCCATTCTAAAGTTTATGTTATTAAAAAGCTACAGAAAGGGGATGTGTTAGCAGTAAGTGCCAGTTAATTTCACCACCTTATTGTATAGTCTGAGAGAGAAATTTTAAAGGAGGAATAGTTGTGATGACCTTAGATTTACACTAAATCAAAGCCCAAAAGGTTATATGACTTTCAAACTAATAAATAATGATACATTTCTATTTTTTCAAAATAAAATAATTTACAGGAACTCATCTGAATGCCGGCATTTGAGAGAATGAGCATCAAGTCTATCAAAGACTCCCTTAAGATGAGAGATGCTTAAAATTTGATGTTTGTAAAGAATTTGACTAAATCTATTTTAATCTCTTAACTAAAAGAACACTCTATTTTTGACACTCACTTGGATTATAATGGCAGGTCATCCTGATAGCATCAAAGGCACGAAGAAAGCAATGCTAAAATCACTAGTAATCTAGGTCCTGTGGTAAGATGTCCTATCAAGCAAACAATTATAAATTTATTTGCCTCACTGGCACTTAGGAATTTTTTCTCTTTTATGAAGGCATAGCTTTTTTTTTTTTTTTTTTTTTTAATAGAGGCATGTTTTATTTATTCATTTATTTGTTTGTTTGTTTTGTTTATACATGCACTGGGTACAGTCAGAAGCGCAGGAGGGTGAGAGAATTCACCAGAGCCAGAGTGGGGAGCAGAACAGGCAGAAGGACCGAAGTACACTGCTGAGGGGAGCAGCGGGCGACAGGAGAGGTCTGCGCGCCATGTGGGACCCTCCTCCGGTGGCCGGGAAGCAGCCGGGGATCGAACCGGCACTGCAGAGGCTGCGGGCAGCTTCGCAACCCAGCGCTCAACCGCTGCGCCACCGGGGAGGCCCAAGGCATAGCTTTTTAAATCAGATATTGTTAAGTAATATTAACTAGGCTTAGACTAATGGTTTAGTGCTGATCATATGTGCATAAATTAGCTAGCATCCATTGAAACACTGTATTAAGAACTTACTGGTATAACATAACAAGTTTTTATGCACCCCCATCGCCATTTTATAAATGACAGAAATGGGTTTCAAAGAGATTAATTTACTTACTCCAATTTACATAAAAGACATAGCTGAGATTTAAAACCATGTCTCTGCTCTTAATATTCTTTAACATTAGCATAGTGTTGATCAGATTCCTTCCTAAAGACTTGTGTTCAACAATCTCCTGAAATTTTAGTGAAATAAAGGAGTTTTGAAAGAATTTGGATACACTAAATCAAAATCATGGGATGTAAAATAATCTTTATAAAATGAACGCAGTTGGATGAAGTATAGGGAACTCAAAGGAAATTGTTTTCTTGCTTGTCCAGAAGTCTTAGAATCATCGATCTAAGTGGTTGTTCTACTGTCTTCAGTTTGTCATATGTCTTATGTATTCAGATATGTGTTCTTATTCTTCAATTCTTTTTTCTTAGCCTTACACCTGAAATAATCAGTACACCTTCCTCCCCAGAAGAAGAGGATAAGTCAATACTTAATGCTCTTGTTCTTATTGATGATTCAGTGCCAACAACAAAAATTCAAATCAGATTAGCAGATGGGAGTCGTTTGATACAAAGATTCAATAGTACACACAGGTAAGCTTCCAGTGTGTTATTATGCACAAATTCACTTATTATCTTAATTGAGTTACTAGGGATATGTGAAAGTAATTTTTTAAAAGTATTCTCATGATTTAACACTTTTCATACATCTTCACACAGGACCAACCTAAGGTATCATTTTCTGGGTTGTGTGCTACTAATCTGTTTTTCACTCTGCACTTTCAGTGTAATAACATTGTTTTTTTGTTGTTGTTTTTTTTTAAAGATTTATTTACTTATGTATACAAGAACTGGGGTACAGGCCAGAGATGCGGGGGGTGAGAGGATTCACCAGAGACAGAATGGGAAACAGAACAAGCAGATCAGCTGAAATATACTGCTGAGGGGAGCAGTGGGCAAGTCAGGAGAGGTCTGCTGCTCCATGTGGGTAGCTCCCTGGCCGGGGATCAAACTCGTGCTGTAGTGGATGCTGCTACCATCATAGGTTGCGTCTTAACTCCTTGTGCTACTAGGAAGGCCCTGTAATAACGTTGTTGACATTTGTTTTATGCAGATCACCCAAAGATTGTCCATGCTTTATGGCAAAAATAAATATTAAGAACACTCCAAAGTAAACCCTCCCGTTTTATCTTAAAACTAAGATAAACCCATCCACTGAAATAATTTGAAGCAAGTTAAAACATGTTTAAATAAAGGATTGGAATTGTGTAATTTTTACTATTATTTGATTTTAACTTATGCCACCTTGGCGATGAAGTTGTATTCACCAGTATTTTTTGTCTTCTTTAGGATCCTGGATGTTCGAGACTTTATTATACGGTCCCGACCTGAATTTGCAACTCTTGACTTTATTCTTGTGACTTCATTTCCTAACAAAGAGTTAACAGATGAAAGCCTGACACTACGAGAAGCGGATATTCTTAACACTGTGATACTTCAGCAACTAAAATAATATTGTTCCTATCAATGCAGTAGCATATAGGAAAGATAATGTGCCATATTAATGAGGAAAATACTTATAGCATAAAAAAATATTTTTTATTATTTATACAGACAAATTTTCTCTTTTTTTTTTTTCCCCCTTGTTCTATCTTCCAGTCTTAGTAATGATGAATTTGGAGCAGAAATAGACCTTGAGATAAATATGTATGAGTTCTTAGTTGTAGGGTTGGTTTATGTTAATTACTTATAAAAATTCAGGCAAACCAATCTGTTACTTGCTTTGTTTCCTTTTTGTAGAGAAAATGAACAAAACCCCATTTTGATAAATGCATTTGTTAAAATTTGCACTAAAGTTTCTTAATGCTGCGTTGATCAGCAGCTATTAAGAAATCTGATAAATAATTTGAATTTGTTTCTGTGATAGATACTGAAAGGTGTCTGTATTGTGGTGTTCAAATACTTTGATCATGCAGTACTCATTTGTTTTCTTTAAGGTTTTTCCATCCTTTTTACTTGCTGATTTAGTGATGTTATTAGTATCAAAAAAATACAATTTGGCCTTGTATTTTACAAAACTATGACCAGCATAAACTAGAAATAAGGACATAAAGGTTGCATTTCTTAGGAGATTATGGTAAACAACATTTTACCATGGTCATTACAGTCCTTCCCAGAGCCTGCCTTGATCACATTCACATATTAACACATTTTTCTAGGAGACCCACTATGTATACTGTAAACACTGTTCTCAGTGTTCAACCTAGAATGTATTCTACTCTAAGACAAAACAAGTTTACAAATATAAAAACATAAATTCTCCAGTAGATATGAAGAATTAGCAGCCTAAATGTTTGCATTTCTGCTGAAATCATGTATTTCTTGAATGAGATAGGTTATAGCAGAAAAACGAAAAAAGCCTTTTTATCTTCCCAGATATACTACTTCATTTTAGTTACCTCACTTGGTTAGTTTTTTTATTGCTGCTGTAACAAATTACTAACAAATTAGTGATTTAATATAGCACAAATTTATTATCTCTTAATTCTATAGGTCAGACATCGAAAATAGTTCTCACTGGGCTAAAGTCAGGATTGACAAGACTATTGCTTTCAGGAGGTTCTAGGGGAGAATCATGCCCTTTCCTTATCAGCTTCTAGAGCCCATTTTCATTCTTTGGCTTATGGTGCCCTTTTCTGTAGTCCAAAGCAGCAACTCTGTATCTCTCTGATCCTTCTCTGCCAGCACATCTCTGACAAAGCCAGGGAAAGTTCTCTGCTTTTAAGACTCAATTAGATGGGATCCTGTGGCTGATCTAGGTTTACCTTCCCATCATCATAAGGTTCTTAGTAATCACCTCATAAAATTCCTTTTGCCATGTGGAATAACATATCACAGTTTTCTTCTGGAGACTCCAGGGGAGAATCTCTTCTTTACCTCTTCTGATTTATAGAGGCTGCTGGCATTCCTTCACTCATGGCCATCAGCCCATCTCTGCCTTTATCCTTAGCTCTTTTACAACCAACTTTTAATTTTCCTGTTTTAATCTTGTTTACATTTGGCCTATCTAAAAAAATCCACCAGGATAATCATCTCATTTTAAGATACTTAGTCATATCTTCAAAATCCCGTTCATCATGTAACAAATTCACAGGTTTGGGGTTTAGTGCATGACCATTTTGGGGGCCGTTATGCTGCCTACCACAGACCACATTTCCCTCAACAATTCACATTTCCCCCAACAATTCATATTCCCTCCCCCCTTCTAAAGGTCCTCAAAAGACTCAACCCAATACAGCATCAATTTAAAGTCCAAAATAGGGACTCCTTGGTGGTGCAAGGGGTTAAGACGCAACCTATGAGGCTGTCCGCAGCTACAGCACCGCCAGGGAGCTACCCACATGGTGCAGCAGACCATTCCTGGCTCTCCCACTGCTCCCCTGCAGTGTATTTCAGTCAATCTGCCTGTTCTGTACCCCACTCTGTCTCTGGTGAATCCTCTCACCCCATACACTTCTGGCCTGTGCCCCGGTTCTTGTATGCATAAGTAAATGAATCTTTAAAAAAATAAAATAAAATACAAAATATCACCTAGATCTCATCAGCTCAAAAGTTCCAAAACTAACGTATCAGTCAAGTACGAGTGAAGGTCTGGGTATGATTCCCTAGGAAACAGTTCTTCCAAATGTGCTCCTTTGAATCTAGAAAACCAATTATCTGCTCCTAAAATAATGCTTGGGTTACCAGAAATTGCCAGATCCTACTGCTTGTCACTACAGATGCCAATGAGCAGAGGCAGGAATTGAATGAATAAAAAGTGTTTATTTAGATATCAGTGATCTGAGAATGGTGGGCATATCACCCTAAAGGAAACCATTCTGACATCTCTCTGACTGGCTGTTTCATAGTGATTGGAATAAAAACAGTCCTAAGTGATTCAGTTTATGAGAACAGCCCATTGTAGTTGTTGTTACTGGTATTTATCACATTCAGGCCTAAGAGTTTGTTTTCAGCTTCTGGGCTATATACACCACGGTACATCCTGGTCTGCTGAGCTTAATTTCTGAAGGTGTCAATATCCTGCACTCTTGGGAATCATCAGGATGGGAATCTCAGTTCAAAGCAAAAGTTTCAGTTAAGGACAACAGATCCTCAGTCATACAGTGAGTACATGCACCCTATGCTAGAAGTATGTGCAGATTCCTATACTAGATTCAGTGGCCTTCCCTCCCTAGCCCCCTGTCATTAGGACAGAGAATAACAAGAGACATTCCTGGTCAAGAAACAGAAAATGAGATTTTAAAAAAAGCTACCCAGTAGGTGCTGTGCAATCTAGAAATTCAATCATGCACATTCCGATAAATTTCATGCGCTGGGGTTAATCTGTGACAATTCCAGCCCCTCAGTTTGTAACTCTCAGTCATCTCCTTTTTCATGAAAGATAGCAAGTATTTGCAGCTGAGTGGTTTTATCAGCTTGTTCCTTACTGATAGAAATGTGGAAGATCCAACCATTATTTCATCCTCTATCCCTTTCACTTTAAGGTGGCATTGTCTATTGTAACATTTTCAAACATCTGTATATGTCAGGGGGTACACATATCCTTCCTAAATAATGCCATCTGTTTGGGGCCCTTTCGGAGATGGATGAGAGACTCTTGAGTCACACCCTGAATCTGCAAGTACCACTTATGTGACTGCCTATTCAAACCTTTTTCATCTTCCCAGGTACTAGCAAAAGGTTACACCCTCACCTTTCCCTAGAGTAGGCATTCTTCATAGTAAATTTCTTCAATTATTTGTCTTTGACTACTTCAGTGGTTAAGATTTTTCAAGTTTTTAAGTCTCTTATTACAGTTCATCCCTCAATTTATACATCTCTCACATTTGCTAACGTGAGCAAAAAGAAAGTAGGCCTTGCCTTCCATACTTAGCTTAGAAATCTCTTCAGCTATAAATATCAAAGTGTAACACAACTGCTTTCCATGGAACTTGAAGACATAATTCAGCTAGGTTAGTTGGCACTATATAACTTGAGGATCTTTTCCTTCAGTTTCCAACAGAATGTACCCTTTCCTTCTGAGGTCTCATTGGCAGTGCCTTTAATGTCCCTGTTTCTACTGACAGACTCTTTCATCAACATAGATACTCTCTGTGGCGATGTTCCATTCTTCTGCCATGTTCCTTACCTCCTTCAACTACTCCCTGCTCGCTCCCATTCCCAACCAAATTTCTACTAGCAGTGTTCAAGGCAATTTTGGCTTTATATTTGTCATTTCCCTCAAAATTCTCACAACCTCTACTCACTACCCAATTCCAAAGTACTCCTGCATTTCTAGGTATTTGTTTCAGCACTACCCCTTTTTAGGTACCTACAAAAGTGCACTATGCCTACTCACTGCCCATTGAATTGAATGTTCTAATAGAGGATTTGGAATTTGCCTTTTTCTGGTGGTTTAGTTAGTTCAAGAAGATGAATTTACCCATTAGGGAATTTATACTTGAAGTGTTTCCAGAACCAGGAAAGAATTATTGATTCCACCACTTCAAGAAACAAGCATAGAATAAGAAGACTGTTGCTAAGTATTTCCTTCAGAATAGGAAGTCTTGTTCCTTTCTGCTAATAGAATGCAACATAGAGACTATATAAATAACAGTTTAATAAGTCAGTCTCAGTTCAAAAAGATTACCAGGGAAAAACTACATTTTCACAGGAGCTTCCTAAGGAAATAATCTATTACAACAACTGGAAATTTTAAATAAAAGGGCATTGCCCTATTTCGGGTTAACAAAACAGGGAAATTAAACTCTTAAGTTATTTAAAATTTTACTCAATCTTTTTATGAATTAAGTGGAGTGCCTACAGATACACATACAGAAAATAGGGCATTTTGTATATAATAGTCTTCCAAAATAGTGATTACTTTAGAAGAGAAAACATCCAGAAGACTAAACAGACTGTCAGCTGCGCTACATAGCATTTTGCTGTAATTAGTCCTTTTCCTGAACTTTTTACTACTTCAGTCACTGTAACTTTTAAAATTTATAATCTCAACATATGTCACAACAGACTACCTTTTGTGATGTCAATTGTTTTTGCATGACATGTAATCAAAAACTTTTAAGTGTGCTTACCAATAAAGAACATTTTTACCAAACCATGTTGAAATCCCGTGGTTTGCAGTTAGTATTTTAAGCGTAAGTGACATTTCCTGTGGCTTAATTTCCTGTGGTGCATCTTTCTGATGGCAAGGAGGAAACTGAGTTGTAGCAATGTTACAACTCCATTTCCCAATGCAGTTTCTATTTTACTCCACAAAAATAAAGGCTGCAAATATTTAACCGTTTGCCACAGATTTCTAAAAACCTATTAAAACTTTTATCACTGCTAAAGTACATGTTTTCCTCTGAAAAGTTTTTCCCTGATGAGTGATGCAAATTAATAAATCTCATATATGGCCAATATTGTCATAAAATATAAGAAAAACTTTGTATAGTTCTCTGTACAATTTTAAATTAAAGTTATTTTTAACTCCAATTGAATGATTTATAAAGGAGCCTTAATGCACATGTGTGTTTATGGCACAGAAAAATTATATATGTGTCCTAGAACTGAAACTAACTATAAATCTACTGAACAATTTGGCCTCTTTAGAATTTATAGCTATGACCTAGATCTCTGAAAGTGAAAAAGAAAAAAAAATGTTTGAACTTAAGGACTTATCTTAGATCAATATTTCTTTTTTTTTTTTAAGATTTATTTATTTATACAAGAACCGGGGTACAGGCCAGATGCGTGGGAGGGTAAGAGGATTCACCAGAGACAGAGCAGGGACAGAACAGGCAGATTGACCAAAGCACACTTCTGAGGGGAGCAGGGGGCGAAACGAGAGGTCTGCTCACCATGTGCAATTCTCGCAGGCCAGCTGGGATCTAAGGGCCTTGTAGAGGCTGTGGACAGCTTCACAGCGCTGTGCTCAACCGCCTGCGCCACCTGGGAGGCCCGATAAATATCTTATATGAAGCTGGGACATTCAGAATTGTTCTAAGTAGCTGCAACCAAAAGCGAACTTGCCATTTGTGACAACGCGGATGGAAATGGATAGACTTAAGTAAAATAAGTCAGAAAAACAACTATCTGGTCATTTCATTCATGTGGACTATGAGAGGCAAAGGGATGGACAAAACTATTCGGAAACAAATCCAGAAAAATTGAAGCCACTAGGGGGAAGGGAGGTTGTTAGGACAAAGAGGGTAGGGGATGTTGCCACAAATGGCAAGAGTTTATGTTTTTTGATAGCTGAGTAGTGTTCTGAGATGGGTGTGTGTGTGTGTGTGTGTGTGTGTGTGTGTGTGTGGTGTATGAGACATCTTCCCAATCCAAGTTTATTTGTGCACTTAACATAAACATTCATAATGTATGTAGATATTACTATTTGAAATAGTGTATACATTGGTATTATAGGCAACTCAAACTAATTTGACTTTACATTCTTTCATATTAATCATGTGTGACTCATTTGCAAAAAGAAGTACCTAATCTTAGAGACAGCTGCTTGGGCTTAACATTTATTGAGGGTTCTCTAAGAACACAGCCCTATATTTAGCAGGCAACAGGTTACTTCTGGTCATTCTGACCTCAGCTTAAATGTATTTCTTCAGGGAGTCTTTCCCTGATGCCTCAGTGTAAAATCGTCCTCTTGTTCCTCAATCACATTACTCTGTTTATTGTAGCATAAGCAACACCTCGTGTTTTATATTATTTCACTTTGTACCCATCTGCTAACATGAGGACAATCTTTCTCCTTTCCCCCAATTTCTCAGTGTAAGTTTCTGAGAACAGGAATTTCCTTTAACCATTGCTGTATCTCTAGAGCTTAGAACAAGATCTTACATATAGGAATCACTCAATAAATGGTTACTAAATAATAAATCAGCTTATTAAGAATGGGACTATTTGAGCATTGTTAAGATGAGAGACTTAAAATATTACCCTTGCAAACAGGGTTAGACAGAAAAAAAATTAGTACATTTTGGTTGGATTTTAAAGGAAGGAGAAAAGCAGTGTTCTAGAAGCATCTGCCTTGGTTCATTTCCAGGAGTGGTAGCAATAATTAGGTAAGTTATTCCCCAGGGGAAATTCAAAATTTGGGTGAAGAGGGCAAAGGAATGCCCACCTGTGAAATTATCAGTATGTGAAATAACTGGAAGTTTTCTGAATCCCATTAGAGGGTGCTACAATTTTAAAGACCCTATGTAGGATAAGGAAAAATGTCAGGCTTTTCTGCCCTCCCGCCATCAGGATAGATGATGGATCCTTGCGGTCCTGAATGCATGCCTGATGGCGAACACCTGGAATAGGGCGTGTGCATAGGTAGATGGGATTCACCTGGGCTAAGACTGGGCTTTTAAGGGCCATTAAAAGCCAAAAGAGAAGCCAAGCGGGAAGCAAGAGAAGCAGAAGCTGAGAGAAGGCCGGAGACCCATAGAGTGGGCCTGCCAGCCTCCCAGCCCCCTAGCCCCCCTGCCTGCTGTGTACCAGGTAAACCCCAATAAAAGACCTGCAAAAAACCACTGAGGACTCTGACTCCTCCTTTACCAGGTCTGCGGGATCAGAAAACCTGCTCAGTAGTCATTCCTGCCTTTACACCCTAGAAGTGTGAAGAAAAGTTAGATCACAATGAGGATTAAAGTAGAAGCCCCTCAAACCAGTAAGTTCTATTTGATTACTCAGAAAAGCATGCATGGCCCTTGTCATGTAATTTCACTGTTCATAATATTATTTTTGAATAGATTTTATCTTTATGTCAGAGTTAAAATGTCTAGCCTTATAATATTAGCCATTGATATTTATCTTATCCTATATATAAATATCTCATCATTTGTTACTTTAATACCTCAAAAGTGTGAAAGGTGCTATAATGAAATTTAATCACAATAAGTCAGAATGTGCTAAAATGTATGTAAACATTTTTGTTAAATGAAAAGCTGCAGAAAATCAGATGATATTGGTGTTTTTAATCATACATCACTTGTGCTTTTGAAATCAAACTAGTTTAAGGAGTTGTTGATTTTGGCCACATACTCTGTTTGATTGACCTTACAAAAAAAATTCTCACTAGTCATTATAATTGTTCTGTTCTCTAAATTAACCCCATTACCCAATCTTCCACGCAAGCAAAGAAGGCAGAAATGACCTGGAGTTACAGATTTCCAAATAATCTAAAAGCAGTTGTGGAGATGTGCAAGCATATGTTTCACTGGTTTTCTTGAAATTATTTTTCAGAAAATGAAATAAAATTCTTTTAATTTTATTTTTTAAAGATTTATTTATTTATGCATACAAGGGCTGGGGTACAGGCCAGAGGTGCGGGGGGTGAGAGAATTCACCAGAGACAGAGTGGGTAGCAGAACAGGCAGACTGTCTGAAATACACTGCTGAGGGGAGCAGCGAGTGAGACAGGAGAGGTCTGCTGTGCCATGTGGGTAGCTCCCTGGCTGGTGGAGATCAAACTGGTGCTGCAGATACTGTAGATAGCTACACAGTGCTGTGCTCAAACCCTAGGGCCACCAGGGAGGCCCTATTTTCATTTTGATACTACTTAATAATTGTGTGCTAAAATATGCAACTAGTACTTAATTTGCCATAGATTTTTGACATGAACACAAATCTTATGTATATTGGACATTAAAAATGGCACTAAAGCTAATTAATTCTAAGTGTAAGGACTTTATATGAAGTCCTACAAATAAGTGAGGTCTTATAACATAGAATCCACGCACATCCTTTTGTTTTAGGTGTAACAAAAAAAAGAAGCAAGATTTTATTCAAGTCACACCCAAGCCTCAATGAGTGCATGGCTTGTATTCAAATGACCTAACCTCCTCAGATCCAAAGCACCTCTGGATGATTCATAAAATATTATTTTTCCTTCTATAAATTATTTTTAAATAAGAGGAGTTGCCTTAATTTAATCTATCAGTGAATATAAAATGATATATTTGCATTTTCAGAGGTTTTTAAATTTTATGTCCTAAGTTTTTCATTTCTTATATGCAAATAGATGCCCTAAATTGAACTTTATGGATGATTCTCTCATCAAGACAAAGATTTTACTCTAATAACTGCATTTAAATGTCTGTTTGGCTGTCCTCATTATTCTTCTGTTGTACATAATAACCAGTGTTTACCTTTGCTCATAGGCTATGTACTAAAATATCTAAAAATCTTCATGTTATATCATTTTGGGGTGATGGTGGTGGTGGTGGTTTGTTTTGTTCATATACCTCTAAATCTCAGCCAACAAATCATTTTTTGTGTTGCATTCTTATCTCTCCTGCCTTTCTCTTTTCAGGTCTCTCCCACCCCCACCCCACCTCCACCCCATCCCCCACACATAGACTTGTAAATATTATTCCATAACTTTCTAATTCACTGGGAACTCTCCTTGGAAGAGGAAGTTCTCCCTCTTAAAATGTGTAAAGAGGCAAACGTGAACAGGAGGAGTTCATGAAAACCTTAGTAGGTAGACAGAATAAATGTTATCCCCATTGTTTTATGGGAGGGGGTTGTTAGACTTGAGAAGAATAACATTGTAAGTGGAGGTGAAGTCAGATGTCTCCCTTTGGGTGTGCTCTGCATCCATTGTCCTGCATACATAAAAGATTCCATGATATTCATTTTACAGATTATTGACAAAAGTTAGGTAGTTTTAGAAAGGATATTCAACAAACAGTGAGGAGGCAGTGTTTTAAGTAATGTTCATTACACTAAGTAATATTCTAAAGGATATTCAGCAAGTGTGGTGGCAGCATTACTGCCAAACACATCCTCAAGTGAAATGTTGACTTATGACGATTTGGTTATTTGGGTTCTATTTAGCTCTTTTGAGGGGCATGTGCTCATAAATTCAATGTATTGTTGTATTTTTCCTCTGTGTTTTCTGTCTTCTAACAATTTCATTACATCAAGAATGATATAGCAGAAAAAAACAGTATTAGAAGGGGTGTGGCACTAGTTCTAAAAAATATTTTGTCTTTATAACTGCCTTGATCTACTGTAAGAATCTAATATTCTTATTCAACTTTAAGGCAGAATCTTGAAAGCCTAAAATTTTAAAAAAGCTAAAAGAAGATTATTAATATAATC